TGGGAGGGAAATGGATAATAAGGGCAACAATCTGCAGGATAGAGAGAGGTATGAAAAGCAAGCGTAAAGAGAAAGAGGATAGTTATGAGATCTCCAGTTAGAAGGGAAAAAAAATATATATATATATATAAAAAGGATGGAAGATTTACAAGTTATTACTTATAATGTGAAGGGGTTGAATTGTCCTGGGAAAAGATTTAGATTATTTAAGGAATTACATCACCAAGCAGTTTCAGTGGTTTTTTTTGCAGGAGACACATCTCGAGATAGAATCTAAGGTGAGGTTGAAATCTAGAGAGTACCCAACATGGTATTATGCAGATTCCCCGATTAAGAGAGCTAAAGGAGTGGCAATAGGGTTCAAAAAAAATATATAAGATTTGAACTGAAGGACAGAAAAGTGGACCCAGAGGGGAGATATTTGTTTTTGAAGGGTAAAATACAAGAGGTGGAGTGTACAGTAGCTAATATTTATTGCCCAAATAAAAAACCAGAGGAGTACTTGAAGGGTGTGTTAAAAAAGTTGATGGATTTTAAGGAGGGTTGTATAATAGTGGCGGGAGATTTTAATTTTTGTATGGATCCACAAAGTGATACAACTTCTGACGTGCAGCGAGAGGGGAGTAGATCTTTGAGACTATTAAAGAAGGTGATCCATGAATGCCAATTGGTAGATGCATGGAGAATCTTGCATATGAAAGATAGAGATTATACATTCTTCTCTAATGCACATCAGATGTATTCAAGGTTGGACTATGTATTAATAGAACACCACTTTATAGATTCAATGGTTAAAGCAGATATAGGAGTAATGACGCTCTCTGACCATGCCCCGGTCGTATTGAGGATGGGATGGGGAAAGAGGAAAACAGAAGGGGTAGGTTGGAGGCTGAACGAGGCACTTCTCAGGGACAAGGATACTGTACAAAGGATTGGGAAAGAAATTGAGAGATTCTTTAGAGAGAATGAGACAGAGGATGTGTCTAAGGCAACAGTATGGGAGTCTCACAAGTCATATATAAGAGGAATTCTGATTGCATTAGGGGCAAGAAAAAAAAGAGAAAGAAGAGAAAAAAATCAGCGGACTCTTAAAGGATATATTGGAGTTAGAACAGATTCATAAAAATAGAATGGTAAAAGAAATTAAGCAGAAGATAATAAAAAAGAAAGAGGAACTGGAAACTCTGATGGAAGAGGAGAGAAGGAGAGTGTATAACAAAGTATTAAGTGAAAACTATAAATGGGGAGATAGGCCAGGAAAATATCTAATGAGATCCTTAAGGAAAAAAAAAAATAGGAATTATATAGACAAAATAAAGAGCCCTAAGGGAGAATTGGTCCACTCAAATAAAGAGATTGTAAAGATATTTGTGGATTATTATAGGAAGCTGTATAATATTATCCCAAACGAGGAAATAAATAATAGGGAAGAGGAAAAAAAAGAAAAAAGGAAGATTTATTTAAAAAATGCGGGATTACCAAAAATAAAAGAGGATCAACTAAATTCCCTAGAAGCAGAGATCACACAAGAAGAGATAAAGGTAGTAGTAAAAGATATAGAGATGGGGAAGAGCCCAGGACCAGATGGGTATACAGCAGGGTACTATAAAAAATTTAGCTTAATATTAAATCCCAAATTAGAAAAATATATGAATGCCCTGGGAGGGGAGATGGATATGAGGGGAGAATCTTTACAGGCTCATGTAGTTCTGTTACATAAAGAAGGGAAAGACTCCTCACAGTGCTCGAGTTACAGGCCCATTTCACTGTTGAATGTAGACACTAAGATATATGCAAAAGTCCTAGCGAACAGGTTGAAGGAGTTTATGCCTGAATGGATACATGGAGACCAGGTGGGCTTTGTCCCGGGAAGAGAGGGCAGGGACAATGGGTTGAGATCCCTGATGCTGATACAGAGAGGTAAAAAGGGGGAGGTACCGGTAGTGGCCCTTTCAGTTGACGCAGAAAAGGCCTTCGATAGAGTAGACTGGGGCTTCATGTTGGACACCTTAGAAGCCCTGGGAATTGGAGGTAGAATGAGGAAATGGATTGGAAAACTGTACAGTAAACCCTCAGCAGTGGTAATAGTAAATGGGGAAAAAACAGAGCCCATCGGGATGTCAAATGGAACAAGACAGGGCTGCCCTTTGTCCCCCTTATTATATGTTTTGTCGATAGAGCCTCTCTTATATCAACAATAAGGAAAAATGGAGATATAAGGGGAATCCAGATAGGAAGTATAGAACATAAAGTGGCAGCTTTTGCTGACGACCTGCTGTTTTATGTGGGGAATCCCAGGATAACACTCCCAAACCTAATGAAGCTGCTGAAGGAATACGGAGAATTATCAAATTTAAAAATTAATCCTACAAAAACGGAGATCTTAAACATAAATATCCCAAAGAGTGAACAAGAGAAAATACAAGAAGAAATTTCCCTTTATTTGGAAAGAAAGAGATATAAAATACTTGGGAGTAAGGCTTAGCGCATCGTATAAAACCTTGTATAAACTAAACTATATTTCATTACTAAATGAAGTAAAGGGCGAATTAAATGCATTAGAGAGGGGAACCCCATCGTGGATAGGACGTATAAACCGGGTAAAAATGATAATCGTACCAAAAATTTTATATAGATTCCAAATGATACCAATTAAACTCCCGGAAGCCTTTTTCAAAGTAATAAAAAGAATGATAACGGGATATATTTGGAGGAAGAAAAAACCAAGGGTGTCCCACGAAATATTAAGTAGAGATAAAAAGAAGGGAGGTTTGGGAGTTCCAGATATAAAGAGATATTATAAAGCAGTAATATTAGGGAGAATCTTTGATTGGACATTCAATTTAGAAAGGAAGAGTTGGGTAAAAATTGAGAATACACTTAGTGGAACTAATTTGAATAGAATAATATGGCTACCGACACAATATAGAGGATTAAGGGAGGATTTGAGTTTGTACACTGTAAACGTATTAAGGGAATGGGATAAAATACACAAAAATATGAAATGGGAATTTAACTCTATACTTATGCCACTAAGAAATACAGAATATTTTACACCAGGTAGAGAAGAGATAACAGGTAGATGGTTTATGAAGGAGGATGTCCAACTCAGAGATATAATGGGGAATGGGAAATTGAAGATCTTTAAAGAGTTGGAAAAGGAAAAGGGAAACATCTTCACTAGGTTAGATGAGTGGCGTTATTATCAATTAAAATGTTTCTGGGGAAATCTCCCAAAAACCCCTGAGACCCAGAAAGGATTGGAATTTGTTTGAAAGGTTGTTAGATGTACGGGGTGATGGGAAACATGGAATAGCTAAAGTATATGGAATTCTCACAGAGTTGCACACAAACACTAAACCATTGCACATTGTGAATTGGGAAAGAGATATGGGGGTGGTATTAGATGAAGGAAAACAGAAAAAAAAATAAATAGATTAGTTCACGAAAATGTAAGCTTGAGAGATGTGGAAATAAATTATAAATGTTTGACAAGATGGCACATTGTTCCGAGTTTGGAGGGTAAGATAAATGCGGAGAGATCACAGCGGTGTTGGCGAGAGTGTGGGGAAGTGGGGACAGTTTATCACATTTGGTGGGAATGTCCAATGATTCAAATATTCTGGAAAAAAAATAATATACTTAATAGAGAACATCACTGAAATGAACATCGGGTTAGATCCTGGGATGTGCCTGTTACACAGTTCACAGCTATCAGTTAGTAAATATAAGAAATTAGGTTTGGGGTATTACTTGAACCTGATCCCTAAGTATTGGAAGAAAAAAGAAATACCGAAAGAGGAAGAGTGGATAGAGAGAGTAAACTGGACTAAGGAGAGGGAGAAGACATATTATATTCAGGAAGATAAGATGGAATTATATCTCGCGAAATGGGAAAAATGGGAAAACTTTGTAACAAGTATGAGAAAGTGATAAGTAGAACGTCATAGAGAAACAACTGGGAAGGTTATGCTTGCTTTAGATACAAGACAAGGAATTGCAGAGTGGAGGGGGGGGAGGGGCTAAGGTTTTAAGAGGGGGGTAAAGGAAGAAATAAGAAATAATTGTATATTTATGATGTTTGAGATGTAATTGTCTATTCTTATTTTTCTATTGTTATTTCTGTGAAAATGATTAATAAATATTTAAATAATAAAAAAAAAAAAAAAAAACAGGTGCCATTGATACAGGTAATGAGTGCAGGACGGAGGAGCCTCTTAAAGAAGAAGGTACAGGTCTGTGAGAGCCAGAAATCTTGCTTGTTTGTAGGTGACCAAATACTTATTTTTCACCATAATTTGCAAATAAATTCTTTCCAAATCAACCAATGTGATTGTCTGGATTTTTTTTCTCATTTTGTCTCTCATAGTTGAGGTCTACCTATGATGTCAATTACAGGCATCTCTCATCTTTTTAAGTGGGAGAACTTGCACAATTGGTGGCTGACTAAATACTTTTTTGCCCCACTGTAATGTCTCAGGGTTAGTTCAAACTATATCAGGTTACAGAGTTTTTACTACAATGTAGAACATCTGTCACTGCAGGGACACACAGGAAACAATTGTTTCCTGTGTGTCCCATTCACACTGCAATGCAGCATATGGTTGCACTGCAGCATGCTGTGATAAAATGCAGACATTCTAATGAAGTCCAATCGCACGACAATGTACAGCAATGCAGCGCAAAGCTTTGCTGTACATTGGAGACTCGGGCAACAGGCGGACAACCTACCCCTGAGCAGGGGTCTCAGGCAACAGGCAGGCAATCTTCCCCCTAGGCTTGGGGCCTCAGTCAAGCTCCCTCCGTGACTGGACAGCGGATTGGAGACTCGGGCAACAGGCGGCAACCTACCACTGGGCAGGGACCTTGGGCAACAGGCGGCAATCTACCCCTGGGCAGGGGTCTCAAGTAACAGGCGGCAACCTACCCCTGGGCAGGGGCCTCGGGCAACAGGCGGCAATCTACCACTGGGCAGGGGCCTCGGGCAACAGGCGGCAATCTACCACTGGGCAGGGGCCTCGGGCAACAGGCGGCAATCTACCACTGGGCAGGGGCCTCGGGCAACAGGCGGCAATCTACCACTGGGCAGGGACCTCGGGCAACAGGCGACAACCTACCACTGGGCAGGGACCTCGGGCAACAGGCAGCAACCTACCACTGGGCAGGGACCTCAGGCAACAGGCGGCAATCTACCCCTGGGCAGGGGTCTCGGTCAACAGGCGACAACCTAACACTGGGCAGGGGCCTCGGGGACTCAACGGGACTCTAGCTGTGTAGTCTGGCATCAGCACAGCTCCCACCCAGCTTTCTAGGGACATTGGGTTCACGGGGACTCAACGGGTAGCGATGGCTCAAGCACTCAGGGGCACCACAGGTAGCTATACTCTGGGCACGCTATGGGGCAGTTCAAGTAAGGGTAGTCTAGGCGTGTAGTAGGGCAGTGCATAAAACTCAGGTGGTCAGTGAGCACAACAGGGACAGTTAAGGACACGGGTGGTCTGTGCACACAGCGGGGACAGTTCAGGACACGAGTGGTCGGTGCACACACCGGGGACAGTTCAGGACACGAGTGGTCGGTGCACACACCGGGGACAGTTCAGGACACGAGTGGTCGGTGCACACACCGGGGACAGTTCAGGACACGAGTGTGGTCGGTGCACACACCGGGGACAGTTCAGGACACGAGTGGTCGGTGCACACACCGGGGGGACAGTTCAGGACACGAGTGGTCGGTGCACACACCGGGGACAGTTCAGGACACGAGTGGTCGGTGCACACACACAGCGGGGACAGTTCAGAACACGGATGGTCGGTGCACACACCGGGGACAGTTCAGAACACGGGTGGTCGGTGCACACACCGGGGACAGTTCAGAACACGAGTGGTCGGTGCACACAGCAGGCACACACAGTTCAGGACACAGGTGGTCGGTGCACACAGCGGGGACAGTTCAGGACACAGGTGGTCGGTGCACACAGCAGACACAGTTCATGACACAGGTGGTTGGTGCACACAGTGGGGCAGTTCGGAACAAGGTGTGGTCGGTGCACACACTGGGGACAGTTGAGAAACACGGTGGTCGGTGCACACAGCAAGCACAGTTCACGACACAGGTGGTCAGTGCGCACAACAGGGACAGTTCAAAACACGGGTGGTCGGTGCACACAGCGGGGACAGTTCAGGACACAGGTGGTCGGTGCACACAGCGGGGACAGTTCAGGACACAGGTGGTCGGTGCACACAGCGGGGACAGTTCAGGACACAGGTGGTCGGTGCACACAGCGGGGACAGTTCAGGACACAGGTGGTCGGTGCACACAGCGGGGACAGTTCAGGACACGAGTGGTCAGTGCACACAGCGGGGACAGTGCAGAACATGTGTGGTCGGTGCACACAGCAGGCACAGTTCAGGACACAGGTGGTCAGTGCGCACAAGGACAGTTCAGGACACGGGTGGTCGGTGCACACAGCGGGGACAGTTCAGGACACGGGTGGTCGGTGCACACAGCGGGGACAGTTCAGGACACAGGTGGTCTGTGCGCACAACAGGGACAGTTCAGGACACTCATGGTAAGCAGCTTGCAGACCCTCAGCGGCAGGCAGCTCCAGACACAGGGATGACCAGCGGTCAGCATTCCAGGGACAACCAGCGATCAGCAGACAGCAGCAGCTCCCAGGGCACTCAACAGCGGACGGCTTTCAGGGGCACGCAGCCAAGGACAGTGTGCAGGGTCCCTCAGCAGCAGCTCCCAGGGCACTCAGCAGCAGACAGCTTCCAGGGACACGCAGCCACGGATAGTGTGCAGGGTCCCTCAGCAGCAGCTCCCAGGGCACTCAGCAGCAGACAGCCTCCAGGGACACGCAGCCACGGACAGTGTGCAGGGTCCCTCAGCAGCAGCTCCCAGGGCACTCAGCAGGGTGCAAGGGTGCTCAGTAGACAGGCTTACAGACTTGCAGGGTCTGAGCTGTGGGGTCTGACCTTTGAGGAGAAGGCTCATGCAGAGCTGTGGAGACTCCCAACCCTGGGTATTGCAGAGGGCTACAGTCCTGACCTTTTGGGGGTTTGCAGAGTGCACAGGGGGGATGGCTGGGGAGGCTCGGTCCCCCTCACCCGAGCCTCCCAGCATCTTTCCAGGAGCAAGATGATTCCAGCAGCATGGACAGGAAAAAAAAGAGAAGGGGTGCTTCCTGTGCGGGTCTTTTGAAAACCAAGTGGGACGCGGCTAGGTTGCCTCGGCAACAGCAGGCCCAGCATTGTCCATGGAAGCTCCCCAGATATCAGAATGTGCAAGGGGGAAGGGAGGGGTGGAGGGATATGGCAGGGGATGGGAGAGGCACTGGCAGTCCATGACAAAGTGTATGTTTCGTACACTTCAAATAGAGTTTGTAAAAATAAAAGGGGGAGGATGTGTGATCCACTGAATTGCGCACCACACTGCATTCTACTGCAATGGATACCATGTTAAAAGGGGGTTCTCTCAACATCCTGTACAGCTCTAATGGGGGAAGAAAAATAATGAACTTCCCAACTGTAATACAAGGGTCCAATGACACACAGGGCGTAGACTTATGTAACAAGAGTATAACTTTAACAGCCACGTTCACTAGTGACAGATAGATAAAATCTGCAATGCCCTATCACTCGTATCTATCTAGCAGAAGCTTGCAGGTGTTTGGCCCTTAAGAAGGATGCTGACTGCAAGGGACCAAAAGTCTGACGCTCTTTGGGAGGTCAAGGATGCTAGGAAAAGGCACTAAAGTAGACACAAGGACCCACTCGGTAGTTCTCAGCCTTACCTGAGAAACCATCGAACGATCCCGTCGCTGGGCATAGAGATTTGTGAAGGAAAGATGGCCTCCGCTCATGTTTTTTTCTTAGATTAATGCTTTACATTGCAGCGGAGAGATGTGGGATCTTATTGACCTCATATCTCTCCATAATGGAGGAGCTGTCACAAATTATTTCTATCACAAGGGATACATGCATTCCTTGTGATAAGAAAAAAAGTGATTAAAAAATGTTTTTAAAAAGGGAAAAAGTGCAAAAAAAACATTATATACATTTTTTAAAACGTTTAACATGCCCCCGTCCACCCACATAGTGGTGAATGCATATGTAGGCCACGCCCATATGTAAACGGTGTTTAAAAAAAAAGGACACAAGTGAGGTATCATCACAAACGTCAGAGCAAGAGCAATAATTCTAGCACTAGACCTCCTCTATAACCTGTAGACATTTTTGAAGCATCACCCATGGATATTTTTAAGCACCACAGTTTGATGCCATTCCACAAGCGTGCGCAATTTTAAAGCATGACATGTTTGGCATCTCTTTACTTGCCGTAACATCCTCTTTCATATTTTACAAACAAATTGGGGTATACAGGTGAAACTCAAAAAATTAGAATACCGGGCAAAAGTTAATTTATTTCAGTAATGCAACTTAAAAGTGAAACTAATACATGAGATAGACACATTACATGCAAAGCAAGATAGTTCAAGCCGTGATTTGTCATAATTGTGATGATTATGGCTTATAGCTCATGAAAACCCCAAATCCACAATCTCAGAAAATTTGAATATTACATGCAATCAATAAAACAAGGATTGTACATAGAACAATATCGGAACTCTGAAAAGTATAAGCAAGCATATGTACTCAGTACTTGGTTTCAGCCCCTTTTGCAGCAATTACTGCCTCAATGCGGCGTGGCATGGAAGCTATCAGCCTTTGGCACTGCTGAGGTGTTATGGAAGACCAGGATGCTTCAGTAATGGCCTTCAGCTCTTCTGCATTGTTCGGTCTCATGTCTCTCATCTTTCTCTTGGCAATGCCCCATAGATTCTCTATGGGGTTCAGGTCAGGCGAGTTTGCTGGCCAATCAAGCACAGTAATCCCATGGTCATTGAACCAGGTTTTGGTGCTTGTGGCAGTGTGGGCAGGTGCCAAGTCCTGCTGGAAAATGAATATTGTGAAAAGGTGCAATATTCTAGGCTCAAAGTGTCCCACTCTAATCAGCTAATTAAGCCATAACACCTGAAAAGGGTTCCTGAGCCTTTAAATGGTCTCTCAGTCTGGTTCAGTAGGAATCACAATCATGGGAAAGACTGCTGACCTGACAGTTGTGCAGAAAACCATCATTGACACCCTCCATAAGGAGGGAAAGCCTCAAAAAGGTAATTGCAAAAGACGTTGGATGTTCCCAAAGTGCTGTATCAAAGCACATTAATAGAAAGTTATGTGGAACGGAAAAGTGTGGAAAAAAAAAGGTGCACAAGCAACAGGGATGACCGCAGCCTGGAGAGGATTGTCAGGAAAAGGCCATTCCAAAGTGTTGGGGATTTTCACAAGGAGTGGACTGAGGCTGGAGTCAGTGCATCAAGAGCCACCACACACAGACGGATCCTGGACATAGGCTTAAAATGTTGCATTTCTCTTGTCAAGCCGCTCCTGAACAACAAACAACGTCAGAAGCGTCTTACCTGGGCTAAAGAAAAACAGACCTGGTCTGTTGCTCAGTGGTCCAAAGTCCTCTTCTCTGATGACAGAAGCTTTTGCATCTCATTTGGAAACCAAGGACCCAGAGTATGGAGGAAGTATGGAGGAAGAATGGAGAGGCACACACTGCAAGATGCTTGAAGTCCAGTGTGAAGTTTCCACAGTCTGTGTTGATTTGGGGAGCCACGTCATCTGCTGGTGTTGGTCCACTGTGCTTCATTAAGTCCAGGGTCAACGCAGCCATCTACCAGGAGATTTTGGTACACTTCATGCTTCCTTCCGCAGACGAGCTTTATGGGGATGCGGACTTCATTTTCCAGCAGGACTTGGCACCTGCCCACACTGCCACAAGCACCAAAACCTGGTTCAATGACCATGGGATTACTGTGCTTGATTGGCCAGCAAACTCGCCTGACCTGAACCCCATAGAGAATCTATGGGGCATTGCCAAGAGAAAGATGAGAGACATGAGACCGAACAATGCAGAAGAGCTGAAGGCCGTTATTGAAGCATCCTGGTCTTCCATAACACCTCAGCAGTGCCAAAGGCTGATAGCTTCCATGCCACGCCGCATTGAGGCAGTAATTGCTGCAAAAGGGGCTGAAACCAAGTACTGAGTACATATGCTTGCTTATACTTTTCAGAGTTCCGATATTGTTCTATGTACAATCCTTGTTTTATTGATTGCATGTAATATTCTAATTTTCTGAGATTGTGGATTTGGGTTTTTCATGAGCTGTAAGCCATAATCATCACAATTATGACAAATCACGGCTTGAACTATCTTGCTTTGCATGTATTGAGTCTCATATATTAGTTTCACCTTTTAAATTGCATTACTGAAATAAATTAACTTTTGCCCGGTATTCTAATTTTTCGAGTTTCACCTGTATTTACAACCCCGGACACAGCTCGGTCTTACTTTTTTCATACGCTGCTAGACATGGTGAACAATTTTATTTGTAGATGTAGCTGTGTGTATGGTTCCATTAATTTCTACAGTTGCAAGAAAAAGTATGTGAACCCCTTGGGATTACGTGGAATTTTGCATGAATTGGGCATAAAATGTGCTCTGCTATACAATCTAACCAACAATGATGAAGCTCAGAATCACAATCAGAAAAATAAACAGTGACTGTGTGCTAATAAACAAAGCCACTGAATAGTGGCTATAAAGTGAAGGAAGTGCAAATAAATGAAAGAGTCCAATGAAGGGGTGCTCTTAAGATTCAAGATGATCCTCAGGCATCCAATATATGGAACCGTAAAGGTGATAAATAATGTAAAGATTGCGCACTCACCAGATACGCAATCTTTATGCGCATTTGTGTATAATATCACTGGACCTCCGGTGTCATCAAACTGGTCTGGTCAGATCTGGTCATAATGACTTACACTGCCTGGTACTTGGATAGATGCGGCTGCTCTGTAGATCTGGCTGGTTCTCACCAGAACTCAAATAAACAAAGAGGGCCACATAGTGTGATGTCCTTAAAGTATTTATTGAGTATAAAGGCACAGGATAGCAGAGAAAAAAAATAAATTAAAAATTACTGACCCAGGTGAAAAACAAAGATGGCCACCGGGGCCCCCACGTGGCGCCGGCGACGTGTCGTCCGACCTACTGTAGCTTTCCCTGATGCGTTTCGAGCGAATGCTCGTAATCATAGGGGTGCAGCTTACAGTAGTGGACGCTAGTGACACTGTGTCAGGGATCTCCTCGATCCCCGCCGCGATGGTCCCGGCGCAGGCGCAGTGCGCCGCCCTGTGCAGGGACACAGGCACTAGGCCCAGGCCGGCCCGCGGCGTTCGAGTTCGCGCATGCGCAGTAGAAGCCGCGGGCCCCGCCCACTGGGCACCAATGGCAGCGCAGGGCGGGATATTTAAATGGCCCTGAGCTGTCATTCAGTGCCTTCTGGTCTTTCCTGCATCCTGTGAATCTGCAAACCTGTGCCCTGTAAGTTATTGACCCGGATTGTACCTGACCTTGCTAATTTCTCCTGTCCTGACCCTTGCTTTGCCTGACCTCTCTCCTGGATGCCCCTATTGGATTTGACCTGCTGTTGCTGACCTGGCGTGTGACCCGACCATTCTCTGCCCGCTGCCTTGTACCTTACCGTCCTCTCTGTTACCGACCCGGCC